CAACGAGTTTTATTAATTTTTTTATTAAAAGATTTATAGGTTACTAAACAAAATGGTTTTATGTAATTTTTGTCGGGATACATTCTTGGAATCCCGCAATTTCATGGTCCTAGACCTTTGATGGTGCTTTATCTTCATGTTCAGGAAACTTATCACTATAGATTTTAGCAATTGAATACTATGCAAGTCTCCGCAATCAATACCCTGGCTTAGAGAATGTGGAAACATAGATAAAATTTTATCAGAAAAATGCTGCATTACTATTTGTATGATCCTTTTTTTATAGTGCTGTTTCATAGAGTTTAAATCTATTTGTTTACATGTTCTTTCGGTGAACTTTACCAGTTGGAACACAGATTGTGATGGAAAAAATAGCATGCCTCTATTTACAAAAGCAGTAAACGCTGAATGATTATTAACATCAATTGTGTATTGACAGTAACATTTTTACCTATGTATTTTATCAAATTTTGACATTCTTCACATGTTATTTTACTGTGGAGATTCTTAACAATACAACCAGTTATATAATATAATATATTATTTTGATAAATGGAAAGCGAGACATTGTTTATCAATGAAATCAATGTTTTACTTTCATTCTCTTGTTCAATCGACTCTAATTGCATTGCACGTTGAGGAGACCTAAGCTCTAAAATTGGAGTTAATTCATAGTCACTATCGTAAGTATTGCTATTTACGCTTGGCATTACACTATTTTTGAAAAGTAATTTACGTAATGTGTATTTCAGTTGCAATGCATTTGGATTGTCATTGCCTCCACCTCGGGCCCTTATGCAGGAAAATAACATCTCAATATGATCTTGTGAGCACTTATATGTTAAAAAATATTTCATAGGATCTATGGTACGTGTCAGTAAATCTTTCGTCAAATTTGAAAAGCTTATCGTATTCACATAAAAACCTAAAGCGAATGTTTTTCTACGATGTTGCATTATACTTTGACCCTCAATTGTTAAATTAAGCAAGAAATTACGTATTTCTTCAAAAATAGGTTCCCAGAAGGTTATATTTTTCAAGGTTAGTGGAGCTTTCAATCCCTTACCTATTGGATTTTTGCCGTTCATCAAATCAAAAGCTTTGTCTAAATGTCGGATATAATCAACAGTAGCTTCACTATTTTGAAATTTTTTGTTTCCGCTGACCCTTAAAAAATCAATCGAGTCAGCTACAGAGACGCTTATCAACTGACTAGCTAATTTTACATTCATTTTATTCCCCCAAAAGTTAACATGTGTATTTGTTAATTTGTTCGCAAACCTAAAACCTTCAGACTCTTGTAATTTATTTAAAGCTTTAATATATTCAAATGAATGGGGGATAAGTCGCTCGCGTCCGTAGGCTCTGACCACCTATTCCTAGGCCCACCCTACACGTGTCCCCCGGGTGGTGCTAAATGAGCGACAAGCCGATAGCACAGACTCGGCTCCACGCCCTGGTAGAGGCGTAAAATATACCACCCTTTATCCGCACCATGAGGAACAATATAATAGAAATGGCCCCGAGTTCCCGGCGCCCCTTTAATGGGGCAGGGGTGCGAAGAATCTCCGGGAGGAAAACCGGCGACGAGGTTCGCCACCCGTCACGTTCTGTCTCCCGGAGAGGCGAAAAGTGGATTGCAGAGGTCCGTCTGGCTACGTTGAATGTATGTGGGGCAATGAATGATAAAATGGATGAAGTATGCGATATGATGAATGATAGAGGAATAGATGTGTTATGTGTAAATGAGACGAAAAGGAAGGGAAAGGATGTCACTACACATGGCATGTATACCGCATACTGGTCTGGTGTAGACGAGATCGAGCGGGCATGCCAGGGAGTAGGTATCATCCTTTCAGAAAGAATGGGCCAATGTGTGAAAGAGTATGAATGTGTAAGCCCAAGACTGCTGTGGATACGAATGAAAGTGGGCTTAAAGAAGTTGTTTGTGTTAGGGGTCTACGCCCCAGACATGTCTAAGCCCACTTATATCCGAGAGCAGTTTTGGGAAATGGTAAGGATGGTGTTAATGGAGTGTAAGGGAAATGAAAATATTATTATGCTAGGAGATTTTAATGGAAGGGTTGGGGTGAGGAGGCTTGGTTATGAAAGGATATTGGGAACGTTTGGTGATGAAAGTATAAATGAGAATGGTGAAAGTCTCCTCACCGTATGTATGGAAAAGAATCTTTTTGTGACGAACACTTGCTTTCGCCACAAGAGGATTCACATGTATACTTGGGAAAGAGGTGACGATAGAAGCATGATAGATTTAATAATTGTGGATGAAAGATTGAGGGGCGCAGTTGTAGATACAAGGGTTTACCGGGGTTCTAACGTAGGAACGGATCATTATTTGGTTCTATGCCGAATTAATGGTCTATTCAGGCGTTGGCGCCATCGGTCATCTGTGTCTACCACTGCGTTACAGCGTATTAGAACAGAAAGGTTACAAGATGAAGGTGAGAAAAAGAAGTTCAAATGTAGACTGAAAGAAAATATAAGTGGTTTGGATGAATTATGTATGAAGGAGTTAGACTTGGAGAATGTATGGCAAAATGTAAAGAAAGGTTTAGTGGATGCAGCTACCGAAGTATGTGGTGTTAGTAAGAGAAAGAATGAAAGGAAAAATAATACGTTATGGTGGGATGATGAGGTACGTATGGAAGTTGAAGCAAAGAAGAGAGCATGGCTAGATTTACTAGCAACAAAAAGGCTGGTAATTCTAGCGGTACGAATGATGATATTGAAAGAAAAAAGGCAGTCTTTAGACATCTTAATAAGAGAGTAAAAGAAGTAGTTGAAAGAAAAAAGCAAGAAAGAACGGATAAGAATGATAGAAGAATATCGGATAATTTCCAGGCAAATATTAAAATGTTCTGGAAACTTGTAAGAACTGCCAGGGGACATTCAAAACAGCCTATGATGAATGCTATAAGAGACGAGAATGGCTATATTCTGAATGATGAAGTTTTGAGTTTAAAGAGATGGAAGGAATATTTTGAAAGCGTGTTTATGAGTGAGGAGACAACGTGTGTACTAAGTGAAGTAGAAATTCCGAAGGAAGAGGAAAGAGGTAGCGAGATTAGTGTAGGTGAAATAATGAAAGCAATGAAAAGCATGAAAGCAGGTAAGGCTGCCGGATATGATAGAGTTTCACTCGAAATGCTAAGGGCTGGAGAGGAAGTGGTGGCAGGCCTGCTGCACACCTTGTTTAATTTATGCTGGGAACTGAAGCGGGTACCGGTAGACTGGTGCAAAGCCGTGATAGTCCCAGTATATAAGGGAAAAGGGTCGCAGCAGGACTGTAAAAACTACCGTGGCATCAGCCTTCTTAGCATTGTGGGAAAACTGTATGCTAAGGTACTGATTGAAAGGGTCATAAAAGAAACTGATGGAAAAATTTGGGATGTGCAAGCAGGATTTAGAAAGGGAATGGAATGTACAGATCAAGTCTTTTCCATGCGCATGATCGCGGAGAAGTTTTTGGCCATAAACCAAAAGGTTTTTTGTGCGTTCATGGACTTGGAAAAGGCCTATGACAGAGTGAATAGGGATGTGCTATGGCAAACACTGAACTCATTTGGGTTGAGCGCTGGCTTGATACGGGCATTGGAGTCCCTTTATAGGGACTCTAGTGCTTGTGTTAGGATCAACGGGGTCTACTCGGACTGGTTTGACATCCATAAAGGTGTCAGACAGGGCTGTGTAGCTTCCCCGTGGCTGTTCAACCTATTTATGGACAGTTGTTTGCAAAATTTGAAAGTTGAAGAATGCGGATTAAGAATGGGTGAGTTAACCGTCAAATGCCTTTTGTACGCCGATGATCAAGTTATACTTGCGTCGTCGGCGGCCGAGTTGCAAATGATGGTTACATTAATGAACAGATCATTAAAAGAAAGGGGTATGAAAGTGAACGCAAGTAAGACGAAGGTTATGGTTTTTGAAAGAGAAGAAAGTAAAACGATTTGTGAAATAAGAATAGAAGGGGAGTTGATCTAGCAAGTAGACGAGTTTGTATATTTGGGCTGCGTATTTAGCAGGGATGGTAGATATGATAAGGATATAGAACGACGAGTGAATGCGGGAAATAGAGTAAATGGGGCCCTGCACTCTATTGTGAAGAGTCAAAATGTGTCGAAAAAGGCACGTATGGCAATTCACAATGCTGTGTTGGTCCCTACTTTAACATATGGTAGTGAAAGTTGGGTGTGGCAGAAGAAGCACGAGAGTAGAATGAACGCAGTAGAAATGCGGTCGTTAAGGAGTATGTTAGGGCTGAATCTTAATGACAGGGTAAGAAATTGTGTAATAAGAGAAGAGTGTGGTTTGCAAGATGATGTTGTGACCAGGATTAAGAAAGGAATGCTTCGGTGGTTTGGTCATGTGGAAAGAATGAATGAGGAAAGAGTGACAAAGAAAATTTATGTTGCAGAAGTGAATGGCAGAGTCGGAAAGGGACGTCCTAGGCGAAAATTTATCGACCAAATTGGCGATTTATTGAAAACGGGCCAAATTAGGAGTACCCTTAACCGACGAGCATGTATGCGGAGGTGTATGGATGTGAAGGAGGCGAGAGAGGTGTGTCAGGATCGTGCCAAATGGAAGTCTGTAGTCTCTGCCTACCCCTCTGGGTGACAGGCGTGAGTGTTTATGTATTATGTATGTATATTCAAATGATATAATGCCTAAATTAGATTTCATAGGGAATTCACCTAAAGTGTTTCGAGCAAGTTTCAGCATATGAGATGGGTCAAATATACAATGCACCTCAGTTACTCCATCAGGATGTTTAAAATTTGACTTAATATTAGGAACATCAAAAACGCACCCGAGCTGTTCAAATGTTCTTAGATTTACCACAGTACCATCACATGTTATCGAATGAACGATTATGTTGATATCATGCAACATTTTTATAGCTGTATGAACTAACTGCGACTGGATAGTAGCTGTTATTTTGTTTATTAAAAAGTAGCCTATACAGCATTTGAACCTACTTGTGTAAGACACTATTTGAAAAATTAAAGATTCTTTCGCCACTTCATAGGAATCTACATTTTCAATTCCACCCAAATCAACATAACCCCAAGTTTTATCTGAGTTTTTCTCATACACGAGCTCCGATTTAATAGCCATTGAGTCAAAAATCAGGGCAACATGAATTAAAGCGGGATTCGTTTGGACATTTAATTTTAAAAATTCAAAAACTTCCTTAAGGAAACCGACATTACACTCTGCAGAAGAAAGCATCTTGCGAATTGTAGCAGGATGTGGCAAATTAATGCATGTTCGCAAGAATCTGTATGCCCGTGGAGAATAGTATTTAAGAGTTAGAGCAAACTGCTTAAGTTCCTTGCTATATCTTACACCTGGTGATATCTTAGATTTATTTTTAGGTTTAAATTCTGAATAAATATTGCAAAAATGATCTCTAATGATACTCTCAATATCTTCATAATGCATAGTCCTTTTTTTCACTACACTAAGAAGATTTTTCATCGACGTAATCTTCAAATCTCTGCGTTTTAATTTTTGTTTAAGAATGTTAACTTCTCTTTTTATTTGACTATTTTCTTTACCTCTTGATGTTTGTACATACTTATGCGCGACGCATTTCCTTTTATTTGACTGGGGAATATTGAGTGAAGGGCTCAAATCAGATAATGGTCGCTTTCTTAACGTGATTTCCTGAGAAGATGTATTTGGCACTGGCTCGTAACATATATCAATTTTCATTGAATTAGCTGGAACATCTTGGTGAGCCATGATGTTTGGTGGTTTTATTTGAATATTACTGATCACCTTCACAGTTTCCATGGGCATCTAAAATAATATGAATTGTTAAATTACACTTCAAGAATTAAATTAGTATAATTTAATGGAATAGTAATATCATTTAATGTAATAGAAACATAAGTAATTAACCAGGACTAGAAGTTGTTAATTATTTATTTATGTTTATAGCGCAGTTATGGAATAACATATTATGTCCAGCAGAGAGAAAAATGGAATTAATTGATTGATGATACAAGAAAACTAGAAAGAAAAATTATCATAATTTTAGCTGGGGTTAAATATTGTACAATGAATTTCAAACTTTGTTCTTTCATTTTTTTATTAATCTATGCCACATTGTTGCTTCAACTGTAGTTACTATAATTTATAAGAAGTATTATGACATTTATATTAAAATGAATACATACCGTTACTAGAACTGATGGCACTGCATTGGCTGTTAAGCGCTTTCTGGCTCCTTGGATAACAAAATCCTGACTTTTGAAATGGTTAGAGCAAACTTTTTTGTATTTAGTAGATCCTTTTACCGGAACTACTTTGAGCCATGCTTTCAGTGCATCTTCCTTCACCGGGAAACTTAAACAAATATATGTCGTGGATTGATGGCGCCATAGTGCTACAAGCAGCGCCATCTAACAATTAGCTTTGCGAATCAATAATATCGTTACCGGAAACGCAAGCGCGCCCTACCGCTTGGACACGATCGTCGGTAGAGGGGATGCAGCGAGGGCTAGAGAAGGGACCGAGTGTTGTGGCAGTAGAGTTCGGACGGCCGGAGCGGACGCTCGCTACCGACGCACGTGTTTGTTTCTCGTATGCAACCACTAGTCTAAATAAAGTTATTTTGATTTAAATCATCTTTCGTTCGTGTGCCCACATTTACATAAAACCATGTCGGAGCGTGAAGAAAACCCGATGCTTCGCATCTCGGCCACCCATGACGCGACATCAGAAGTGGGATAAAGTTCTTCTTATCGCCCACATATAATCTTCGAATAGTTTAAGTGTTGTTACGTTTGTGAAAGACTATGATACGCTGTTACCTAATATCTTTGATTTTTTTTATGTTACATAACTTAATGAAAATTGCTGTTCCTATTAACGACATTGACTTATCATTAAAATATAGAGCAAAAGTTTAAAGTGAAATGTTTTAAGCCAAACGTTAAATCTTTTAGTTTGATTTATATCAAAAGTACCCGCAAGTACTTTGTTACTTTTTAATGTACCCAAATATGTTAACAAATGTTGAAAGTACAGTGGAAATTTAAGTTGCTCGAATGATGTCATTATTTGATAGTTCGTGCGAAATATGATTTACTTTGGGTACATTTTAAAGTACGAAATCTTAAGCGATGTACAAAAAAAATGTCTAACTTTAATGTGCTATCGATTAAAAGAGAAAGCAGCTATTTGTGTTCTAATGTGCTGATAAGTGTTACAGTTTGCCGGTTTACGGGATTAGCAGAAGTCGCTACTACGATGATCAGTAAAGAAGATGTCCATAAGAGCCAGTCGACAGCGATAGTGATACGTTATCGATCCTACAATACTGTTACTGCTAACTCCAATACTCTCACCCTCAAAGGTAATGTGTCAAATATGAGCGTGTTCAGAGTTCAGGCGAATGCGTGTAAGTAAATTTCTTATCTCACTGTGTTATAGTTATTCGTATGCAGTCACATTTCTTCGGCTAAAACACCTATCAACTCAGTGATTATGACATTCAATTGAAAGTCACTAGCCTTTTGAAGGGACGTGCTAAAATGTTGGCCGATAACCGGCTAGTGACGAATTCTACACAACATTCTCCAAAACATAACCCCCACCTCCGAACCTGAAAGCCGTTATACGCGTGACATACTGAGATTTAGAGAGCACATTTACGACTCTTCTAAGGATATCGCCGAGTTCTTATCTCGGGCATGATTTCTATGGAGACGCTTGACGAAAGACAAACTTGAAAACAGTGATGCTGTAGAGGCCGTTATCGGAACCGTGGGTGACGAACGCCTTAGAATTGAGTTAATGAATGTTAGGGCCACCTCGATGCCAGAATTGATATTCGTTGCCTCATCCATTCGTGTTAAGCGTCCAATTACATTCCATAAATAATTCAAATCTACCGCCCAAAAAAAAAAAAAAGTTTTAAATAATCTTTTGATAACAGAAGTTCTTCTTGTAGTATTTGCGAAAATCGGCCATACTTCTGATAATTGCCGTACTAAAAGTAATTCTAACGTCCTTTCATTCGATAAAAATCTGTCGACGCCTTTAGCTACAACTAGTGATAGTAAATTTTGTTCATTTTTGTTCAAAGCCTGGTCACACAAACACGCGAAAAACTAATAACTTCTAATATAAATTGAGTGATAGTACCCGCAGTTCTATCTTAAACATCGTGCGTGTTCGAGTAGGTAATTTGCTTATAAATACGGTTAGTTTTCGATAGCGGCACCGAGTGTTCCATTATGCGTGAATCCATTGCGAATTAATTTCCAGGCCATAAGTTATGAACTATTTATGTAGATTTGGTCCGTTCCCTGTTATATCTACCAGTACATTAACAGCTATTATGCGTGATTAATAATATTCCTATAGAGATTTTGTTTCACGTACTACCCGACTTCGAAACAACTTCAGACGTTTTAATTGGTGCAAACTTACTACATGAAACGGGTCAAGTGTAATTATTACACGAAATAGTACTGCCCTAATTTCTTAAACCTCGTGTCATGCCTATACGATCACCAAGTTCCTGCGCTCGTCAGTGCAGTTCTATTTTTCCTGGTAAAACTTTGCAAGTATTATTTGTGAGTCTCATAATAGGAAGTGTAGAATAAAGTTGTAGTGCTAAATTAAAAGTGTGTGGTCTTAGATCTCTTTCATTACAATGGAAACAATATGCGGTAGCTCGACTGAACCCTTGTCAAATGGGGACAGTGGTGCTGCCTCACCATAAAAACAACCACTAGGTTTTCCGCTCCAACAATCATGTAGTTGTGTCCTTCACATTGCGCCGGTGTGTAATTGTGACAGGGACACACTGCAGTATGGTCTCAAACTGTAATTACTCTATGCTGAATGTATAGAGCGTTACGCTGTCCTATTATTGAATACAATAAATTGCGCAAGCAAGAGAGCAAGTTGAACATCAGCTCTCACATTTTTACCATTTTTTAATAATTAACGCTATCCTGTTATTTCCCACACAATTTTGGCTTATCGTGTTACACCATATTTCCGACATATAGATATATAATAATAATTATGAAAATAAATGCTTCCAGCTTATTTTCTCGTATTTCTTAACATGGGAGTACCCAACTTCCTTGAAGGGATTGAGATAAAGAAAGACGTGACATTCATATTATAAATCATTTTATTAACTGTGACTTCATCAAATAATAGAAGTTAGAAAAAAATAATATCTATAATGCCGCAGGTAATTGAAATCAGGACTAGATTACATTTTAATTAGGCCAAGGTCCTTCTCACACATCTTATACTACTCACTAAAAAAAAATTACTTTTGGATCGTAGCAGTTGGCACTCTGTGGTCTCTGCCTACCGCCATGGGAAAAAGGCGTTAGTTTTGGTTTATGTATGTATGTAACACTTTTTCGTCAATTGTGTTATTCATATTCAAAGTTATTGTTTTTACTCTTATTATTGGTCACTTTACCAACAAAACATTCTATATAATTTTCTTTGAAATATACGAAACGGTAGCAAAATATATATCTGAGAATAACAGGAGATCTCCATAATCAAAATTGAAAAATAGCTGATGCTGTATTCACGAAATTCAGACTTAAAAACAATATTAAAACTACGAAAGTGTGAACATATCACAATATACTCTATAAATTTTTCTTACCTATGGAATGACAAACCACATCCAGGGTAACTTTCACTTCTACAACCTTTCACACAACACGAAAATACCATTTTCACTAGAAAACCCGAAAAGTTCTGCAATATTAATTAAATCAATTAAATCACATTCGCTGATGACAAGTCAAACAGAGAATAGAAGCCAATAGCGCCATATTTATGCATTTAACAACGTCAAATTTTAAAATAGGTTTGTCATCTATAGCATAAAATGCACCCCATAGTTTTCAGGGAAAGTACATTCGTGTTTTAATGTTTTTTTTTCGTGTAACTTAATAATATGCTTAATTGGAATACAATATGGAATGTACCAATTATAATATGCGATAAAAATGTAAGATTCGTTCAAGCATACGTCTAAAATACTACTTTAACTCAATAACTGCCTAAATGTTGGTTATTTTTTATTTTGTGTAAACATTTATTAATGCTAGAAGGAGATATAATACCAAACTCGGTGCCTCTCTATCTAAGGAAAATGAAGAACGGTTTCAATGTTCCAGGCGCTCACTCCCTATATATTTATAACCTCCTTGGTGCAAACGCACGGTTACAAGTATTTTTATTGACTGCATGTTGGCAGTAATTGTTAGATTGCCATAAAAAAAACTATACATAACAATAGATTTTATAATATATAATATTATATACCTCTATACTACTCGTTTCATATTGTTATTTTTGTTAAGTATTTTGTCGATTTCTAAATAACAATAAAAAAACTGTTTGTTACTTAGAAATCGGCATAAATACATTTATTTCACAATTTTGAACAAGATGATATTTTGAAAATAAAATAACACTAAAACGTGAGATGTTATTAAATCCCATGTTGTCTGCACATAACGTAGAAAGTAACTTCCTAAAAATCATCATAAAAATTATATTGTTCAAATTAACATATTATTTTATGTCTTTTATTACATTTGTCACTGCATCAATTACAAAATCTACCTTAAAGCACGTTCTTGAGCCCTACGTTTTGTGCTATACAAAAGCAATTACGATAAAACACTCAAAAAATACGAAATAACAAGAAAGAAGCACATGCACAATTTTAAATATTTTTTTTTTCACTTTTCAATTTGATTCACTGTTGGCTAATGAAATAAATTTTAAACTTCTATTTTTTTCTATTACTCCTTAAAATATAAACCTCACGTATGAAGCAAATATAAAATAACTTGAATTTGAAACTATGAAGGGATTTATTATTATTTTTCATTTTGAGAGAAAAATTAATTAACTTAGTAACATCAATACGTCTATTCTTCACCGCTGCGTTGGAAGACGTTTTCAAGCTACTGGGCCGGAAAGGATACGGTATTAACATCAATGGCAAGTACATCACTCACCTTCGATTTGCCGACGATAGTATGGTCCTTATGACAGAATCGCTGGAGGACCTAAGCACTATGCTCAGTAACCTCAATAATGTCTACCAACGGATAGATCTTAAAATGAACATGGACAAAACGAAGATCATGTGTAACGTCCATGTCACACCTATGCCAGTGGTTGTCTGGGAGCACTAAGCTCGAAGTTGTTGACAAGTATGTTTACCTGCGACAAATAGTCTCACTAGGTAAGTCCAACTTCGGCCGAGAAGTCACTCGACGGATTCAACTCGGCTGGCCAGCGTTCGGGAAATTACGACATGTCTTCTCGTCAGGTATACCTCAAAACCTGAAAACGAGACTGTACAACCAGTGCGTTTTGCCAGTGATGACCGACGGAACTAGGACGTGGTCCTTCAGTGCTGACCATATGAGGACGCTCAAAGTCACTCAGCGAGCCATGGAGAGGGCTATGCTCGGGGTTTCTCTGCGTGATCAACTTAGAAATGAGGATATCTGCAGTAGAACCAGAGTGAACGACATAGAACAACGGATTAGTAAGCTGAAGTGGCAATGTGCCGGCCATATATCTCGAAGAACCGACAACTGATGGGGGAAAAAGGTTCTCGAGTGGCAGCCTCGTACCTGTAGGCAAAGTGTAGGGCAACCACCCCCACTAGATGGTGTGACGACCTGGTAAGACATGCAGGAAGTCGATGTATGTAGGCGGCTCCGGACCGTGCTTTGTGGCATATTTTGGGGAGGCCTATGTTCAGCAGGCAACTAGGCAACTAGGCACAAGAGAAGGCGGTGAGCTGAAGTTAGAGAATTTTGGAGTAGGGCAACGGAACCGTAGGGGCCAGCAGCTGGCTGACTTTATGGAGAAAGAGGGACTCTTTATGATGAACTCTTTCTTCCAGAAGCGGCCCCACAGGAAGTGGACCTGGTCGAGCCCGTGGACGGTTCGACAAAAAATGAGATTGACTTCAGTATAACGACCAGACGCCAACTGTTCAGTGATGTCTCAGTGATCGCAAGGGTGAAAACCGGCAGCGATCACCGAATGGTTAGAGGCACACTGAACCTAAACGTTAAGTTGGAGAGGTCTCGTCTAATGAAGTCAACGCTCCGTCCCCCTCGTGCTCTAATCCAGAATCCCGAATCTTTTCAGCTCGAGTTACGTAACTGCTTTCAGTGCCTAGAAGATTGCAATGCAGTGGACTATATTGTTACAAGCTTGAGGTTCGTGACAATAAAAATTGCCGATAAAATTACCTAAATTAACACTAATTCTCTTTACACAAATTAAAACTTAAAACACTAATAATTAAACACACTAATTCACTTAATTCCGCTCCGAAGCTTCGCTCGTATCGCCAATTCAGTACTACCTCGATCGCATCTTGCAGCGCCTATTTATATAAATTAGCAGCGAAATATCCAGAATATTCAAGTAAACACGCGCAAGGTACCGAGAGTTCGTGTTTCAATTTCAAGAAGTTTAGTTCTTCGGTTCGAGACTAGATGGCGCTAGTGCCGTCGACTTGAGCGCGTAAAACTGCCCCCTCCTAAGATATGCTCGTCCCGAGCATTATCGGCCCCATAATAACGCGCCAGGCCCTTTGCGCCTTTCTGTAAAGGCTCCGCAATGTCAAGGGATGTCCTATCCCGTGGTGCACCAACATTGTACAATTTCGATGCTCCTCTACTCCGTGTCTGAGGTCCCCTCACAGCCGCACAACTTGTAAAACTGCCGCCCAGTAACTACTGCCCAGTAAAACTGTTCTCGAACCTTCATTAAAGTTCGTTTAACTCCCAGATGGACTCTTGAACGACCATTATGGCACAGCTGTAGAACATTCGGCACTTTAGTTTTAGGGACAACCATTTGCAAACGACAGCTGTCTCTTCGACCATTGTCCCATTTACGGCACAGGACTCCATCCCGAAGCAGCAAGCTGTCCCATTGGGCCCAATAGCTTCGTGGGACATCGCTGAGACGTCCTTCCACTTAGGCTTGGTAGCACGGGCCTTCATCCATCCCAGAATCGGCTTGATGTCCGGATCTTCCTGCTGTGCATGTCGTAGGCTGTCCTTCCACCCGTTGCTGAGGTGGTCTGTTCTGAGCATCCTCACGGATACCACTTCCTTTCCTTGCCTACTACAATGGTTGCCATCTTCAGGACAAGGTCTTCTTGACAATGCATCTGTGTTGCCGTGAGATTTCCCGCTGCAGTGTCTGATAGTAAAGTCGTATTCCTGCTGCTGCTGGGCGGTGCTGTTAGCCGCACTTCCTTTCTGAGACCGTTCACCTTCCCTTCCTAGGGTGTGCTTAGGGCAGCTGGACCGAAGATGGCCCCTTTCCCCACAGCCATAGCACCTGGGGCTGTATCCTTTGTTGCGGTTGCGAACTGTAGCTGCTGCAACCTCCCTGACGCGATGGGAACGATGATCCTGCCGCACGGCTTCCACTTCCAGTGCATGGGCCAAGGCGCCCTTATGAGTTTCGTAGTGCCCAAGCCTCACAGCAGCTCTGACTTCAAGGTCGCGGATGCCGTCGATGAATGTCTGCACCAGGTTCCCTTCAATGAGCGCAGGTACAGACCGGTATGCTTTTCGCACCAGCTTCTCCACTTCTAGAGCCCACTGCTGCAGGTTTTCGTTGATGCGCTGCACACGATCTTTAAGCTGCGCACGAAAGACGTGTTCCAGGTGAGCGTCGCCATATCTCGCCTACAATGCCTCAAGGAGTTGCTCATAAGTCACTTCCTCACCGAGAGCTTCCAGAACTGTTAAGGCCTGGTCGCGCAGGCCTAGTGTGAGAGCAGTCATTGCCTGACTTTTATTCCAGCCGTTCCCCTTCATAACAGCCTCGAACTGGATTTTGTAGGCTGACCAGGAAGAAGTCCCGTCGAACGGTGGCACTTTGAACCCACGTAGCGAAGGTGTAGTAGCTACTACGGGAGCTGTAGTTCCATCACCCAGTTTGAGGTCGTCCAGCGTTTTCTTCACGTCAGCCACCACGTAATCAACCCGATTGTTCACTTGGTCGATTTGGGTTTTAGCTTCCTTGATTTGGATTTCAGCTTCCGACAGGCGGTTGTCATGTTGAGCAACCCTATCCTTCACCTCCCTTATCTCTTTCCCAAAGGTAGCATGAAGGTCCTTCATAAGGAGCATCTGCTCTTCCGACCGACAAGCCTGTTCCGCCTGCTGATCTTCCACCCGACGGGCCTGTTCATCCTGTCCGCTCTGCAGCTGCTCTTTCAACTGACGGGCCTGCTCCTCCTGTCGGCGAGCCTGCTCCTCCTGTCGGCGAGCCTGCTCCTCCTGTCGGTGAGCCTGCTCCTGCAGCATCACCATCAGAGCACCTAAGTCAGGTGCTGCAGATGTAGGAGCTACCGACGGGCCTGCAGCCGGTTGCTGGCCCTCCGACGTCTGCGGCGTTGCACCACCAAATCTTCGTTGGTCCGTCTCCTGCTGGCGTTGACTTCGGGTACGGACACCCTCCGTTTCCTCCTTAGGTAAAATCGGCATGATTTTATCCCACTTCTGACACCAATTGTTACGAGCTTGAGGTTCGTGACAATAAAAGTTGCCGATAAAATTACCTAAATTAGTGTGTTTAATTACTAGTGTTTTAAGTTTTAATTTGTGTAAAGTAAATTAAAGTGTTAATTTAGGTAATTTTATCGGCAACTTTTATTGTCACGAACC